AAAAGAAATTAGCTAGAGAACCAAAAATATATATAGATCAAAATTAGTCAGGCATGGTGGCACATTGCCCTGTTAGTCCCAGCCTGCTCGGGAGGAGGCCTGAGGCAGGAGGATCGCCTTGAGCCCAGGAGTTGGAGGTTGCTGTGAGCGAGGCTGACGCCACGGCACTCACTCTAGTCTGGGTGACAGAGTGAGACTCTATCCCACTGCAAAAAAAAAAAAAGATCTCCAGAATAAACTGAACCCAAGGCCCCCCAATCAGAGTCTTAAGATCTTAGCACGACTACCTCTTTAACCACACCATTAGGGCCACTTGAAAGGGGGGCTTCAAAAAATTATCCTTAACCCCCTTTGGTGTATGTGTTTTTCCCAGTGGATACAAAGTTAAGCCTATCACTTTAACGCCGCGTGTGACTATTTTAGAAGAAACTCGCTTTAGAAGAAAATCAGGTAACTTTTAGGTGGTCTCGGGTGAAAAAGCTAAAAGTAACGAACAAAGGGAGCAAAAAGAGAAAAGGACCAACAAGGGAAAGAAAAATTCACCTTTCTAAATAAACGCAGATTCGTCTTTACCTGTGAAGTGGAATTTCACCGATTCTGGGAGACCTGGAATAAACGAGAGATAAAAATCAGCATGTGAAATACCTTCCTGTCAGAGACGGATGGGGAAGGCACAAACAAAGCAGGCAAGGCCATACAAAGCGCGGGCGCGGAGGCTCACGCCTGTCATCCCAGCACTCTGGGAGGCGAAGGGGAGGATCGCCTCGAGGTCAGGAAGTTAGAGGTACCAGCCTGAGCAAGAGCGGACCTCCCGTCTCTGCTATAAATAAAGAAGAAATAATTGGTCCAACTAAAAATATATATAGAAATAAAATGAGCCCGGCGCCGTGTGCCCATGACTGTAGTCCCAGCATACTCCCGGGAGAGGCTGAGGCAGGGAGGATCGCTTGACCCAGGAGTTGGAGGTTGCTGTGAGCGAGGCTGACGCCACGGCACTTCACTCCCTAGCCCGGGCGACAGAGTGAGACTCCTGTTCTCCAAAGAAAAAAAAAAAAAAAGGTTAGCAAAGCGAAGGATGTTTTCATCCTAAAATTACTCTGGTTTTTTTTTTTGGGGGGGGGCGGCTGGAGAAAGGTCCACAGTCTTGTTGCTAACGTCCTATGGAGTTTATCGAGTTATTTATTTTTTTTGAGACAGAGTCTCATCCCTGTTGCCCCGGGCTAGAGTGAGTGCCGTGGCGTCAGCCTCGCTCACCCAGCAACCTCCAACTCCTGGCTCAAGCCGATCCTCCTGCCTCAGCCTCCTCCCGAGTAGCTGGGGACTACAGGCCATGCGCCACCACGTCCCGGATTAATTTTTTCTATATATGGTTAGTTGTCCAATTAATTTCCTTTCTATTTATAGTAGAGTACGGGGTCTCACTCTTGCTCCAGGCTGGTTTACGAACTCCTGACCCTTGAAGCAATCCGCCCCGCCTCGGCCTCCCAATGAGCTAGGATTACAGCCGTGAGCCACAGCGCCCGGCCGTTTTTTTTAAATTTTTTAAAAATTTTTTAAGGCTGGTCAAGTGCAGAGCAGCGGGAGTGGAACAGAATGTCTTTTGATCTTTCGGGCAGACGCCCAGTGGTGGGATCGCTGGATCAAACGGCGGATCCACTCGTATCGCTTTTTTTTTTTTAATATATTTTTTGAGACAGAGTCTCGCTCTGTCGCCCGGGCTGGAGTGAGTGCTGTGGTGTCAGCCTCGCTCACGGCAACCTCAGATTCCTGGGCTCAAGCGATCCTCCTGCCTCAGCCTCCTCTAGAGTAGCTGGGACTACAGGCGTGCGCCACCGAGCCCGGCTAGATTTCTGGTTCTCTCGTATGATAGTATTTGGCCAATGTAATTTCGTTTCGTATTTATAGTATAGCGAGGTCTCCCTCTAGTCGCCGGGCTGGAGTGCAGTGCGAGGGGCTGCCTCGGCTCCACAGCGAATCTATCCCGTTTTGAGGGGGGGGGCGTTCTCCAGGTGCTTCCGCAAGCTGGGCCAGGCCTGCCATCCCAACCAGCGGAGGGGGTGTGTTCCCTGGTTGATCCGCACCCAGGCCAGCAGCAGCCGTACCGCAACGGCGTGCAGCGGAGGGAAAGAGTGTAGGGAGGCTGGGGAAGGAGGCCGCAGAGAAGCACCGGCCCGAGGGGCCGAGACGGGCGAGCTCAACTGCAAGGGAGAAGGCTGGTGATCTCCTGGAGGGTGGGGGGCGCCGGGCGGGGGCGGTACAGGATCTTGCCCTGGTTCACGTCCTCCTGCGTGACCGGCCGCCGGTGCCGTCGGGGAGTGAGGGCCCGGTCCCTTGTGCTCTCACAGGTCCCTGCCAGGAATTAGGCGTGAGTGGTGAGCCCTCGCAGTGACGGTCTCCAGGCTCCACTGGGGAGGAGAGGGCGGGGGCTCTGTCGTCTCAGGGACCCGGTCTCAGTTATCCAAGAAGGAGGCGGCGGCGGCGGTGGCTCACGCCCTGTCATATCCCGCACTCTGTGAGGCGAGGCGGAGATGATCAGAGGTAGGAGTTCCCGGCTGAGCTGAGAGCGGAGGAACCGCGCTCTCTACTAAATAATATAAAGAAATTAATTGGACCGAAGTAATATAGTATAGAGGAGAAAAAATTAGGCCCAGGTGCGGGGTGCTCACACCTGTCATTCTATCACTCTGGGAGGCCGGAGGCGGGAGGATGCTCGTGAGTCAGGAGTTCGAAGACCAGCGTGGAGCAAGAAGCGCGGAGGCCGTGCTCGTGCTCACTAAATGAATAGATAAGAAAATTAATTGGCCAGTAATAGGTATATAGAGAGAAAAACATTAGCCAGGTGCGGTGGTCACACCTGTCAATCCTAGCACTCTTGGCAGAAGGCGAGTGAGGAATTCGCTGTCTGGCTCAGTGAGTTCTGGACAGCTGAGGCGATGAGTGAAGACCCCGTTCTCTACTAAAAATAGAAAGAAAATTATGCCGAGCTAAAAACAATTTTTACTTGGCCGTGTGGGAGAGAAGTGGCTCGATGCGTGTCTTCCGGCCAGCTCTTGGGCACGAGGGAGAGGCGCGGCTGCAGTGCTCAAGAGGTCCAGGAGTGTCGAGACCAGCGCTGAGCAAGAGCGAGGACCCGTCTTGCTGTGTCTAAAATGAGAAAGAAATATGACAAGTCGATATATATACAAAGAAATACCGCTGTGCGGCATGCCTGTGAGGCTACTCAGAGCTGAGGCAAGAGGATGCTTGAGCAGCCCCGACGCTTGAGGGTGTTCTGTCGCGCTGGGTGACGCCACGGAGCTACCTCTAGCCTGGGCAACAGAGTGGGACTCTGTGTCTCAAATAATAAAATAAATAAAATCAAACAAATAAAATAAATAAAATAACTACACATACGAAAAACTCCAAAATTAACCATATATAAAATGAATAAAATAAAAAATAAAATAAATAGATTTTATTATTATGAAATAACATAAAAATAGATAAATAAAAAAGATAAAATCAGAATAAAGACTAAAATTAAATTAAAAAATTAAAAAATTTAAAAAATAAAATCAAAAATAAATAAGAATAAAGTTAAATCAAATAAAAAAAACATTAAAACTAATTAAATTAAAAAGATTAAAAAAATTAAGATTAAATAATAAATAAAATAGATAAAATCAAATAAAAGAATCAAATAAAATAAATTAAATTAAAAATTGAAATAAATCAAAAATAAAATAATAAAATAAATAGAATAAAGTAATAAAAATAAGCCAGAGGACAGGAGCAGGGGTCTGTAAACAACTGCACTCCTGAAGACAACACCCAAAACCACTGGTGGGGCGTGAGCAGATGGGCTGCGGGTTTCCGGCGCGGTCGGTGTAACTGGTAAGACGGGAGCCCACGCCAGCATCCCGTGCGGCGCTCACCGTGGCCGGCTGCAGAGGCAGCGTGATGTTGTACGAGACTCCGCCGCTCGGGCCTTCTCGGGGCTCGGCGAGGGTGAGGGTGAGCGAGGCAGTGGTGACCGTCGGGCCCGTGGCCTTACCGCGAAGGACCTGACAGAGATTGCAAGAAGGAGAGAGAACAACCACGGCGGTGAGCGATACGCGAAAGCCAGAGCAAAACCTACTAATGAAGAGCAAAAAATAAATGCGCTGGA